CACACACACACACACACACACACACGCACACACACACACACGCACACACACGCACACACACACACACACACACACACACACGGTCAGAAACACACACTCACTCTCTCTCTCTCTCTGTGTGTGTGTGTGTGTGTGTGTGCGGGTCTCACCGGAGCCGTAGGTCAGTATGCTGCTCTTCAGCGGCTCCAGCTCGTGGCTGAACTTCACCGCCTTCCCCAGATCCTCATCATACTTGCGCTCGCTGACGAAGTGCTGCAGGAGAGACGACCACGCTTACTCCTCATGTGTGCTGAATCTGTGTTTGCTGCATCCGTGTGTGTGTGTGTGTGTGTGTGTGTGTGTGCGTGTACCAGCTCTGTAGCTCTGCAAACGTCTGCTTGATCTTCTTGATGGAGGAGTCCATCTCGTCTCGCACCAGCACCCGGTAGCGGGACAGAGACGCGGCGCAGCGCTGCAGATCCTTCACTGAGCGCTCCACAGTCGGCCCTGAGGAGCAGAGTGTAATGGCCGAATTACATTAGGACTGAGGAAATGAAGAACTACAACAGCAACACAGGAGACTCTAGATGAGCGCTAGATGAAGCGTTACACACACATCAGTAAAGTAAGCCCTGTGCAGAAATATTAAGACCTAGAACAGCGAAATGAAGACTTTAAGGCCTGAAATGTCCATGATTTCATTTGAGACTTTAAGAGCCGCAGACACCCTGTGTTTACTCGATAACAGCAGACGAAACAGAAGACTCTTATCACTGATCTGCAGGTATAGTGCTGAGGAACATGTATACAGTACTGATGTGTGTGAAGCAGAAGTTTGTTTGTGTGTGTGTGCGTGTGTGTGTGTGTGTGTGAAGTGCTGCTCATATGATGTGTGAGCGACCCGTACAGCTTTAGAGGATGACTGAACCTGTCCGACACCACACACACCAAAAGGGGAGCATTTGGCAGGGAAACACCCAACCCTCAGCCTGATGAAGGTGAGCCGTCCTGTACTGTAGCACTCAGTGGACCGGGCCGTATTAATGCTGTATAATGAACCGGCTCTGCTGCAGTCTGGTGGAGCTGTGCTGGCGGTGCAGCTGATGTGTGGACTATACAGTGTTTGTGTTTGCAGTCGTGACAGGAAATAAAGCTTTATATGTAAATGAAGGACTTCTCCTCATCCTCATCCACTGAAGGCCAGGCTTTACTCCGGCTCTCAGGATTTAGAGTTAATGAACCGTCAGTGAAACGCCTCAGAGACTGCAGACGGACCCGGCAGCAGCAGAGACTCTTACCGATCTTTCTGCCGGCGGGAGCGTCAGCGGCAGCAGGTGCATTCTGGGAGATCAGCTTGTGCTGCGGCCGGCGGGGCTGATGGACACCAAGCGCTGGGGGAGAAGAGGGGGCGATATCTGCAGACACACAGCCATTAGCACTGCACGCACACACACGCATCCACACACACACACGTGCATGCGCGCACGCACACACAGACACTGAACGCACCGGGAGTGTGTGCAATAGGTTCCGGCTCTGCATCCAGCGAGGCAGAGTCCAGTCGTTCACTCAGGGAGTCCACCGAGTCTCCGTCCGCGACTGCAGAACCGTTGGCATGGAAACCGTTGACCGGGTCCTCACACTCGGGGCCCGGGGCCACTTCCGCCAAGGGGGAGGAGTCAACGGGGCCCTCGCTCTGCGCTTTTGGCTTCTTCTTCTTCTTGGGCTTCAGAGAAACACAGACATGACTATCCAGAACACACATACACTAGAACACACACACACACACACACACACAATCCACATCACACACTCCAGAACACACAAACACACACTCTAGAACAAACACACACACACACTTTAGAACACACACACACACACACACATACACTCCATGTCACACACTCAAGAACACGCACACAATCCACATCACACACTCCAGAACACACAAACACACACTCTAGAACAAACACACACACTTTAGAACACACACACACATACACTCCATGTCACACACTCAAGAACACGCACACAATCTACATCGCGCACTCTAGAACACACACACACACACACTCCAAGGGGTGTTCAGACCGTTGTCAATCTGGACTCAGGGCACATGACAGTACCTAAACACAGACTCTCAGTGCTGCATTAGACACCGTCTGTGCGATGGTTCAGTCCCTTGGTGTGCATCACCGAACTGAGTTTTAGGCTCGCGGTTCTGTACGGTGCGGTTTGTGCTATTAGGAAAAACTGCCCACAGAACATTTCCAAGAAAATAAACTTTATTTGGCTAAAAACAGCTGACAATGGCACAGCCTCACACACACGACTGCAGATCTGCCTGCTCCCGCATTCATTAAAGGGTGGGCGTTTAGAGAATTGAACGTTCAAATAAAATCAGGAGAAAAAGCTTCATCTTCCCCTTTACTGTCTCACACACTGACCCCACATCTGAACCCATTATGCAGATATTAACCCAGTGGACACGTCTGCATGACGGAGCACTTCTGCAGTATGGATCTCTCTGTTTACATTAGGCTGCAGCACAGTTTGATCTGTGATTTCTGTCTGATTTTATCATGACTCCAGTGGGCTCCGGTACACTTATCAGCACCCTCATGGTGAATGAAGCGTCAGCAGAGCGCACGTTCGGCTCTTCTCACCACTGTTCCTGGCAGAGCGCGAGTGAACGGAGGGAATAGCGGGAGCGGTCGGGTGCGGAGGAACACCCAGCAGGAGCCAGACTGAAGAAACAGACCTGCTGTATATCCGCGTCCGTATGGGTCGCTTCTGGGTCTGGACACGGACCTCAACCTGCCTATTAGTGAGCACTGAACTAGGCCATCTATCCAACAACAAACGGCATTCGCTCCGTTTCTGTGTCTGAATTTATATCGAGTGTCTGAACACTCACGGCAGAGCACTGGGATCTGACCGTGGATCACAGGGCGCACTGAACTGTGGGAAGACAACAGGGCAAGACGGCTTTTACAGAAAACCGCTGCATCCCTACTGCCCACAGCATACTTCTGGACAGGCTGGAAAACTGGGTTGTGCTGTCCGGGACGGTCCTCAAATGATTCAGATCTTACCTTGAAGGGAGAGGTGGTCGAGGTGGACACCCATGACATGTGGAGTCCCACAAGGCTCGATTCCGCCACCTCTCCAGTTCACCCTTTACATGCTCCCTCTGAGCCAAACAATGAGACAAAACCAAATCTCCTACACAGCTCTGCTGATGACCCTCAGATCTACCTAGCCTTACTGCCTAATGACTACAGCCCCATTGACCCCCTCTGCCTGAGCAGGGATGAAGTGAACAGCTGCATGTGCCAAAACTGTCTTCAGTTAAACAGAGGAAACTGAAGTGACTGCGTTTGGGAACAGAGATGAGCTTCTCCAGGTGAATGTGTACCTGGCACTAAAGGTCAAACGACAAACAATGAGGTGAAGAATCTTGGTGTGACTCTGGAGTCAGACCCGAGTTTCAGCAGTAAATCAGCACACGATCATCTCTCACACACTGCAGGAGTCTCCAGCGAGGACTCAGAGAAACTCGTTGATGCTTTTATCAGCAGCAGGGTGGATTACTGTAACGGCCTCCTCACGGCCCTTCCCAAACACACAGACAGACAGTTACAGCTCATCCAGAACCTGCGGCCAGGATTCTGACCAGAACCAGGAAATCAGAGCACATCACAGCTGTCCTCAGGTGTCTACACTGACTCCAGCTACAGTCAGAGCAGAGTTTACAGTATTATTACTGCTCTATACATCACTGAATGGCCTACGAGCTCAATACAGTACAGATATGCTGACTGAACACACACCTGACAGGTCACTCAGATCTTCAGGATCATCTACACCATAAAGTCCAGGAGTTCAGTCAGAGCAGGGGGAATCAGCCTTCAGCTGTAACAGCGCCCCCTGCTGCTGGAGTCAGCTTGCAGACATGATCAGACCTGCTCCAACATTAGACTGAACACAGCGGAGCCTTTACTGAATGAGCACCATGCTGCACACACACACACACACACACACACACACACACACACACACACACACACACACACACACACAGCTGAGTCTCGCTCTTCTTCAGTCGTTTATCACCTGTTCAACACATCATCTGTTCTCATCACTTTTAATTCTTGTTTCTGTAAAGCACTTTAAGTTACCATTGTGTATTAAATGAGCTATAGAACACACACACACACACACACACACACACACACCATTATACATGAGGGACAGTCAGTGATCACCCTCGAGTGACACACAGCTAGCACATATTAAACTACAGTCAAGATGTAATGAGGGTAGAGCAGCTCTCAGGATTTCACTCACACACCTGCATCAACCACACACACACACACACACACACACACACACACACAGCCTGAGCGGAGCCATGTCCATCCTCCAGATCTGCTCTGCTCTCCTGCGCTGGACTCACACACTCTCCAACACTGCTCTGCCTTTTAATCTCTTCTGCTTTAATTAGTTTCAGCCGTCAAACACACACACACACACACACACACACACACACACACACACACACAGTAACTCGCCCTGGTTAGGAATTTGTGCCCTTTGACCTTAAAAATGTCGATTATTGTACTTCACCCTAAATTACATCACACACACACACACACACACACACACACACACTCACACACACACTCACACACTTTTTATTTGAAGCAGCAGTTATGGTTCACTCACCTTCTTTTTTCCA